TCCGGATTTCACGCCGAAGCAATTTTCAAGTGTTGGGATTATGATAAAATATTATTAAAAAAAATAAAAATATTATAATTCCAGCACTTGAAAATTGCTTATTGCTTTGAAGTTGTGCAATAATGTAAAATATTACGTATATTTCTTAATATATATATATATATATATATATGTATGTATATTAAATTGCTCTGTTACTTAGCATTGAGTATTGTAGTTTCTTACACATTTTTTAAATGTATTTGTACACGATCGCTCGTTCGTATATCTACTTATATTTAGCCATTCTGTTATACAAAAAAAACCTTTCATCTGAAATCTTCCAGATGGTCCCAAACGGGACGTGTTTATACCAATTCCACATTCTCATCGTCTCCTCTAAATTTTCTTTTAGAGATTCCTATATTTCCGCTCTTTGACGGTTCCGCTTTCGATGTCTGTTTTTCGAAATAGAAACCACCTGATACTCGAGAGGCACTCAATGTAGAGGGTTCCAATTAAAATAACATAAATGGTAAACATAAGTGTCAGAAAGTGAATATTATGAAATATTATAATGAGGCTTATGTTCCTAAGGAAGGTAGACGACGAATCACAATGAACTTAAAGAGGCTGTAATGCTCAGTGAAGGACACACGCCAGTAGCCGTTTCCACAAAGTGACAGTTATCGTGGGAAATGAGTGGACTTTTTCTTGAATTTGGAACACGGGGGCAAATGGGGGTGATACACCCCTGTGGAAGAAACATGTCATGTCCGATAGTAAAATCATTTGCAATGCATTCTTATAGTAAAATCATTAGTAATTTATTTTTATAGTGAAACCATTTGTAAAGCATTCTTACAATAAAATCATTTGCAATGCATTCTTATAAAATCATTTTAATGCATTCTTATAGTAAAATCATTTGTAATGCATTTTTAAAATAAAATTATCTGCAAAGCATTCTTATAATAAAATCGTTTGTAATGCATTCTTATAGTAAAATCATTAGTAATGCGTTTCTATAGTAAAATCATTAGTAATGTATTTCTATAGTAAAATCATTTGCTATGTATTCCGATAGTAAAAATCAATTGCTATAGATTCATATAGGAAAATCATTTGCAACGCATTTCTATAGATTAATACATTCTTACTGTAAAATCATATCTGCTCAGTTTCTTTTCCTAACGTAAACAGAGCAGATAAGATTTTACTATGAATTATATATATATATATATATATATATATATATATATATATATATATATATATATTTAAAAGATAAACAGACCACTTTAAAGGTACCATTATAATAATTTATTTCACCAGAGCCCTTTTTATGTATATAATTCAAGAGCTGTGATACGCTTTGAGTTTATTGGGCACTATTCAATTTTGCTTAATCACCGGCGTCCCTCGTGACCGAGCGCTCTAAACCACGTCGGATCTAATGATGTTTTCCTCTACCCAGTGTGACGCTGGTAGTAATACATATATACATAACATTTCTAGCCTTCAACCCATTGTTTGCTAACACTGCCGCCTCATGATTCAGCAGAATCAAACATTTATTTAACAAACATCGCCGTTCTATTTGCATGGATAGAATTATTGGTCTGGATTCAAAGTCCCAGAGTAATTTTTCATTTTGCATACCAATCATTTCTTTCTGCTTTTGAAACCAAGTCGTTTGAACAAGCTCAACTAAAATCTTGCACTGTAATATATTGAGCAACATGACTTAGTGATGGTTATCAGCGGGGTCTGTATGGTGAGCGTGGATAAAATTAAATGTCTGTACACGCACATTGCCGGTTTATGGCCACATCACGTTGAAGCAAAAGTTCCATTACGATTACCAAAGTTAAGTAACGTCGAGCCTTGTCAGTACCTAGGTAGGTGACCGCTTGGGAATATCAGGTGTTCTAAGGTTGGATGTGCGAGTGGTGTAGTGGATTATGCCTCGGAATTATTAATCGGTTCGTTTTGTTATATTCCTTAACGGTCATGTACCATGAATCCGCCTTTTCTCCTACCAGCTATTGATTGCTTAGTAAGACTTGCATCACAAAAATCATTATTATCCACCCCTCAAAAAAGAAAAAAAATATCTTACAATCTGTAATAGAAACACCATACAATAGATAGATAGATAGATAGATAGATAGATAGATAGATAGATAGATAGATAGATATGAACAGACTAGGATAGATAGATGGATAGATACGAACAGACTAGGATAGATAGATAGATAGATAGATAGATAGATAGAATGATAGAATGAATACGAACAGACTAGGATAGATAGATAGATAGATAGATAGATAGAACAGACTAGGATAGATAGATAGATAGATAGATAGATAGATAGATAGATACGAACAGACTAGGATATATATATATATATATATATATATATATATATAGATAGATAGATAGATAGATAGATAGATAGATATGAACAGACTGGGATAGATAGATAGATAGATAGATAGATAGATAGATACGAACAGACTAGGATATATATATATATATATATATATATATATATATATATATATATATATATATAGATAGATAGATAGATAGATAGGTAGGTAGGTAGGTAGGTAAAACAGACTGAGATCCAATCCTAGCCTGCTTCGTTATATTCACTTACGTGCAAATACCCTTGGGAAAGATATGAATCCACCTCTTCCCCCTCAGCTATGCGTTAATTAGTAAGACTCGTATCACTAAGTTATTTTCACCTCAAAAGATATTCTCACGATCTGAAAACTATTTTCTTGTCTTAAATAACATGCAATCGATTGATAAACTGTCGAAAACGAAGGAAACAAATCAATGAAAAGGCACATTGCAAAAGATCCCTCAAAAGTTAGTCAAGAAGATGTATTTATTTTTGTATTGTATTGATGCAGCATTCACCCTGGGCGGATTGAGCCGGCTTCTTCCTGTTGACTCATTCGTAGTCATGTGAGAAGAAGATTCTTGGGATAAATTACAGAAGTAGGGTACCCACGTCTACTCGTCAAGTCAAGAAGATGCAGCGATTCTGTCCAATGAGAAAGCAGAGAAAAAATTATTTACAAAGGGCGCTGCCAAAAACCTTCTACGGCTGCTCTGTTGTGAGTGTGCTAGGGTACGGTAACTCTTTTTGATATGCCAGCTTCTCGACAGCAGAAACATCGTTTGCTTGCTGGTCTTCTTGGAAGACATTTCTAATCCATCCTCACTGTTGCAGCAGAGCTGAAAATATGATGAAAGACTCATCCCGGGTACAACTTGTTTGACATATTATGCTCAGGACACATTTTTATATACCGGGTGTAACTGCAAAATTGTCCAAATCGTGTAACAGTAAAATTGTCCTGTTGCGCGATTAAGATTTGAGCCGTTATATCTTCGAAGTGATTAAAGAGATCTTACTGGCATTCTGCGAGTTATTATTTTTTTTTATAAAACTATTGAACTCTAAGCAATAAGAATGTATAATTACACTTCAAGTTTAACAGAAGGATCGTGATGAAATCTATCATAAACGAATATTACATGTTCATCATTAATTAATCATAGCTAAGGATCAGAAGCTCATGAAGGACTGAAATAAAGTTCATATATATATATATATATATATATATATATATAAGAAAGACCTTGTACAGCTTATAATTTTAAAAAACAAGGATCATAACATTCATCGAGTGATTGGTAGGTTAATGCATCTTTAACATTTTGTTAGTGAAGTGAATTCACCATTTTATATTATTAACTTTACTAATTTACATTTTGTATGAACGATTCATTGTAATATCAAGGGAACTGCACCACATATTTGATTTAAAAGAACTGATTCGACGTGCAAATTTTAGGGATAACAGCTGAGACATTACTCTATTTATTGAACTATTTAGTTCATGCCACATTGACTGATAAACTCCTACAACAAAAAATTCTCAAATTGCCATATTAGTAAAAAAAAAAACGCACTCACATTTTTTTTTTTAAATTCAAGCTTGGCGTTGCGACTTCACACTCTGCAAGTTTATATCCGTTATCAAAAACACATTAAAAAAAAAAAACCAAAACCGCATTATATTTTTACATCTCGAATGCTACCTGAGTTTTACCAAAAACAAAATAATTTCCATGCCTGAAGATGACTGAATGTACAGTTGAAAGTACTTGCGTCTTTAGGAAAGACCTTATACAGTTTATAATTTAAAAAACAAAAAGAAGGAACAATACATTCATCGAGAGATTTGTAGGTTAATACACCTTTAAAATTTTATTAGCGGATTTTGTAGGTTAATGCACCTTTACAATTTTAATAGGGATTTCGCCATTTTATATCATTAACTTTACTAATTTACTTTTAGTATGAATGATTCATTGTAGTATATATATATATATATATATATATATATATATATATATATTCCAAGATCATTTTCCAGTCTATTCAAGATGATCTTCACCCTCTCTAACTTTCTAAGTATCAGTCCTGGAGTAACAAGTTGCCTCATATGTTTCACGTAAGATTTCATTTTCAGTCTTTTTTCACTGTTCTTTGGACCGTCATAGGTGAAACGTTTTTTCTCACGTGCCAAACGTCTTATGGATTGAGTTGGATCTTTTCTAATTGATCATTTTAGCTGAAATAATGATCTCTCTTCATGTTGTAACCTACTGATCCGTTTTTCCTCTTTAATGTTCCCTCATTCTTTTGAATGGACTTTGAAGATGGAAGCCAGAGTAGGAATCTTGGTACAATTACTAAAGGCCTGAATGATCTTTTTCCTCCCACCATTGCCCAATCGGGAAGCCATTGTGAGGCTGATACAAAACGATTTTTAACCTGTTCTTTCTAGCTGAATAACTCAAAGGGTTTTTCAGTAACTTGTGTAAAGATGGCTGAATGTCTTATCCGAAGACTTGGAAAAAAAACTCAATTAGTTTAGTGGTTCTTTGGATATTAAACATTTTTGGGGGTGTACAATTATCCCACGTTGTTACACGATTTGGACAATCTTGCTTTACAATTACATCGTTTAGATTTTTTCTAGACAAAGCGCTTGAAGGACAGATTTTATATAGTTTGGTCCTGAGTAAAATGAACGCTGCTCACAATTTTAAATGTATTTTAAACTTCATTACTTTTCATCATTCAATACACTCTCTGTGTAGTGTGTATGTGTGTGTTTGTGTTGGCGCACCTGGGGACTGGTCTCCAATGTCATTGTGCATTACACAGTGACAACAAGTTGATATAAATAAGTAAATAGTTGCGAGATCAACGCCGTTAAAAGAAGTGAGCGAATGCATCTAGTCATGAGGTTTAAGTAGACGTTAGGACTAGATCACTAAGACAATGTATATCAAGTAAACAGCTAGCCGCAGTGTAGAGATGGGTATATAATAAATATTCCCGTCCAAACAGAGATTGCCAGGTGAAACGATGAAGATCACTTATTCTGCCAGCATTCTGTAACCAAATAAAATATTTATTCATCAGCCCGCCCACGTTTCTACTGAATGTGACACAAGTCACAAATCACAAGTGACGGCAATTTTGCCCAAGCCCTCATGGCACTTCCACTTTTGGAAACGCCCCAGGCGCCGGGCAATAAACTCAGTCCCCTCGCGAAGGTACTTCCCCGGTATGTATCTCAACATAACTAAAACGAATTGAGTTTCATTTAGTGCACCCTACCATGAGACTAAACATACAAATCGGCTAAGTAATTCTTTTTTTAATATATAATCCTATACAATCTTTTGTTTTTATATATATATATATATATATATATATATATATATATATATATATATATATATATATTTGAACCTGTATTCGTTCTTGTGATTCACATCATTATGTCTTTCTTTATATTGCTATTCTCTCTCGCTTTCTTCTCCTTCTGCGATCACGGCTCTTCACAACTTCCTGTCGTCTGTAACCCTTAATAAAGTTTATCTTTATTCTATCTTTCCTACTCCCCGTTCTGCCAAACACTTAAACATTCCCGTTCGGTAGTTTATATCCTACATTTCTTTGTCCCTCTTGCCTTCAATATGTTATGTGAGTGTCAAATTTTCCAAGCCTTCTTTCCTCAACATGTGCCCTAGAAAGTCTAACTGTACTTTTTCTGGTGCTATGTATGGTCTTTGCATCCATTTTCTCTAAAGCTTCAATCACCGAAGTTAAGCAATGTCGAGCCTTGTCAGTACCTAGATGAGTGACCGTTGGGGAATACCAGGTGGGGTGAGCTTGGATGTGAGGCTGGTGTAATGGATAAATGAAATTGTTAATCGGAGAGCCGAGTTCGAATTCCTCTTGGTTTCGTCATATTCACTTAATGGGAAGAGCATGAATCCACCATTCTTACCCAGCTATGGGTTAAATAGTAAGAATTGTATCACTAAACCATTATCATCACAAAAGAATATGTGTACAGAATATTTAGATTTTTGACATTAAATAAACGACAGAGGCTGATATGCCGTTAAACTAAAAATAAGCAACAATTAAACAAAAAACGAAAAAACAACCTATCAAATTTTCTGCTCACGTGTTCAATCCATGGTTTTCTCAGCATCCTTCTGTAGAGCGACATTTCTGTTCCCTCTTTAAATAATTGGTTTTTCTGTATTTATTAAGCACTGCAATAATAACCGATTCTGTTTCTCTTTTTAGGTATCCTCTGCATAATCATATTAATGGCTTTTCGTCTGAACTACAATATGTGATTATTATTATTAACGTATTTTCATATGCAATGAAGTGAACTGTAATGGCCAGTATGAAGAAAACTGTTCCCTGTACAGTTTAATGATATCACTCTACTCTGACTAACGAAATAACTTTTGTCTGAATAAAGATATGACTCTTGTCTGAATAAAGATATGACTCTTGTCTGCATTTCTGTAAAGAAAGTTGATGTGTTACTGTTGATTACTCCCTGGACTTTTTCGATGTAATTTTCTTTTCTTTTCTTTTCTTCACGCTCATTCTGTATTTTATTCATTAAAATTAAAACATTTTGCCAGCGTTTGTCTTTTATTTCAAAATCCTGCATAAATAAATTGCATAAAATGATTTGTCGTGTGTAAATGGTGAAACCTGAATAAACAAAAGGCATTTTAACGAAGGTTTTAACTGTTATCACTCCAGACTTATTTTGTTATTAAAATTCAACCAGTTTTAACGTAAGTCGAATTTTAACGTAAGTCGAATTTGGGCGTAAGTCGAATTTTAACGTAACTCGAATTTTAACGTAAGTCGAATTTGGGCGTAAGTCGAATTTTAACGTAGCTCGAATTTTAACGTAAGTCGAATTTTAACGTAAGTCGAATTTGGGCGTAAGTCGAATTTTAAGGTAACCCGAATTTTGACGTAAGTCGAATTTTAACGTAACTCGAATTAAGATTGTATACCAAGGAGTTTGATTGCCATTACTATTAGAACTTTGAAAAGAAAAATTTCTCGACACACGCTCGCGGTCACAGACACT